GACATTTCTCCTTCTAGGCATATTTCCTTCTCTATGCTCATCTTCTGTAGGTAATTTCACAACTTCAGCTACCAAGTATACATTGAAAACTGTAAAACTTCTATCTCCAGTGTAGACAAGTCTTGAACCTCAAACTCTACTGATGTCGCCAACAGCCACAAAAAAATATATCCCAGACTGAAGTCACCACCTTCTTCCCCATTGCCCCTGAAATCTGCTCCTCCTTCTTCTGCACTCCCAACAGTGGATCCCTTAGCCATAGCCTGGGAGGATGACTTAACATCCCCAAAACTATTTCTAACTCTTTCTACTTGTTAAACGTTCCTTCTCCTACATACTTCCCACTATTGACAGTTGTATTTTCTTAATGATATAAACCTCTTCAAAAATTTCCATCTCTCTAGTTTTATTTCTCCAAACCATTCCTTATGGCTGACACACAGACCTTTCTAACATACAAATCAGATGCTAACCCTTTTTTATTGAAAATCCTTCAATGGCTTCCTACTACCCTTGGAATAGATTCTGTCTCTTCTAAACTCTCTACACTTTTATACAACTTCCCAATGAACTTTTATTCCAATCCCCCACAGTGATTCATACTCAACAAATACCCTTCTGATTCCAAATCTGAATTTTTCACTATGTTCCTTTTTCCATTAAGAGCACCACTATCTCACTTGTGGCTAAATCATATATCTGAACAGCATTGCTAATGATCCCCTGATGTCTCCCCAACACTCACCTCATCACACCTCCTTTGGACTCTCCCAAACTCATGAGCTTGTCCTTGAATCCAGTATAGATAGTCTGGCCCATATCATCATCATCTCTTATCAGAAAACAGCCTCCTAACTAGTCTTTTTCTAACATTGTTCTGCCTTCAGAACTTTCTCTACACCATAATAGGAGGAGCTTTCTAAAACTTATATGATCCTGCCTAAATGATCATGCCTAAAACCTTACAAAGATATTCCACTGCTTTGAGCATCATAAAAAAAAATATCATGAATGGAGCTAAGGTCCTAGTGAAGTAAGAAAGATGAAAAATCCTATATAATAAAAGCCTAAGTGTCTGGTCATCAGTTCAACCAATCTAAGTGTAATATGCTAATGATATGCTAATACAACTTAACCACTTGCTATGATGTGCACTCACCACCAGGAGGCAGCCATTTCGACCAGTAGGTTAGTTTGATGCTGGGGTCCAGCTGATCAGGATTGAGCAAGATGGGCTGGACACGCACTAGAGCACTCCTGCAGTTCCTCCCCAGCTGGCCAACTTCCCGTGTCCCTCCCCAGTCCCAATTGTGCACCAGCAGGGTCCCTCGGCCTGGCCTGCGCCCTCTCACAATCCAGGATCCCTCAGGGGAGTTGAAGAGCTGGTTTTGGCCCAACAGTGGAACAACTGGTTGCTATGACGTGCACTGAACACCAGGGGGCAGATGCTCAATGCAGGAGCTGCCCCCTGGTGGTTAGTACACTCCCACAGGGGAGCGCTCCTCAGCCAGAAGATGGGCTCATGGCTGGAGGGTGCAGTGACAGAAGTAGGAACCTCTCTAGCCTCCACAGCAGCACTAAGGATGTCCAACTGATGGCACCCGAACTGTGAGAGGGCCCAGGCCAGGCTGAGGGGAACCCCGTCTCTGCCTCCAAGTGCACAAATTTTGTGCACTGGGCCTTTAGTAATAAATAGGTTGATAGCAAGACACTGGGGAGGGGTGTATTATTTTAGATCCAATGGTCAGGGCCAACCTCTTGCAGAAATGATGTTTCAGTGAGACCTGGAGGATCAGAAAGAACTAGCCTTGAAAAAGAAAGCAGTCTTCAGTTTTCTTACTTACCATCATCCTCACGTGTGAGCTCTCTGAGGACAGGGCTGTGATTTAGTCATCACTAGCTTAAACATCTACCCCACTTTTTGTCACTCAGAGAGTTTCAAATACATGTTTGATGAGTGAAGGGATGAATGAAATTAAGTTTAAATTTACATTTTTGATTGATCCAACCTGAAGCTAATTGTGTACTCATAAATTTCTATACATTTGCCAACTTCAACTTGTAAAAGTTCTAAGCAAATTCCTAGAGAAAAGCAACTGTAATTTAGACTTTAAAGGGGAGTTTTGCTTTCCTTAAATCCCTCTAACATATTTCAGTATAGATCCTGCAAAGCAATTCTTCCAACCCAGAGCCTTAAATGCATATTGGAGTGGACGAACTACTTTTTAGGATTCTGCAGAATTTTCAGCCCACCAACCACAAAAGTCGGTTTCAATTAGCAGGCAGGCTCCATGGCTCCCTGGCTTTGAGCCTCTTGACTGATAAATTGTATTAATACAAACCCAAATCAACATCAGATATTCAGATTCATAAGGAAAATGTTTTCAAGTCATTATGATTCATTTCTGCTAAGAAGGGAAAAAAGGAATTCCTAAACTGTATTGTATTGCTTTTAATAATTGAACTTTACTCTGAAAAATAAGGCATTCAAGTTCATAATCCATTACTTGCAAAATAAAAAGGCTTTTAAAACAAATTTAGCAGCAAAACCTGACAACATGGAAGTATTTATATCTCTCATTTAATCTATCTGGGGTGACTATTCATTTGTCTCACTACAGAAAAATAATGTGTTTAAATTACAGGGTGCTATCTCTGACCCCACAGAAATATGTATTGTTTTTCAAAAATAAAATTTAAAAAATATGACTTTCAAGGTACAAAAAGAGGTTGGGATAAAGTACTTGCATACTTTGATAACAGTCCCCCAATTCTATTATCTTCAGAATTATAAAACTTTCACAATGTGTGGGCTTTGAAGTACTCAGCAAAAGTAAAGTCACAAAAACACATTAGCATGATTTGAGCATTTGGAAGTAATATAATTGGCAACTGGTTTAGAGTTTCCTTTCAGATCTGATTTAGAGTATGCATTCATGCCACTGTATCGTTGCTTTTCTAATAAGTATGTACTTCCATGAGGAAAGTTTTATAGGCAAATCCTTTTCCTGAACATTACAATCTTTGGAATAATGTGTCATGGCTTCAAATTTTCCAGTGTTTCATTGTTCTCATCTTATAACTTTTATTATTGTCTTATACTTTGTGTATTTTCTTCCAAAGGTTTGAAGAAGTAGCACCTACCTGCTGGGAACAAGGTATCTGCTCTTTACAGGCCACAAACCCAGGACCCAGCTGCAAACCTCATTGTGTATATTACATCAGATCCTCCCATTCACCCTGCAGAAATCTTTTCTATTCTTCCCATCATGGCACGGAGCAAACTCAGGCTCACTTGGTCCAAGGCCATCTGGCTAACTAAGTGATTGGTTATAATTTGAAGTAAGGAATGTCTAGCTCCCAAGTCCGTTTCTTCCAAAGTAACATGGAGCAAGTAACTGGCTCATGCTCCTATCTCATCTTCCATCTGTGCGCAGTTGGAAGGAAGGAAGACTTTAAGGCTGCTTCATCCATGTTGAAATGAGAGTAGAAATATTTCCCAAAACATGACTGTTAGAATTTGACAGACTCTTTATATACTTGCATAAAATGAAGATTGAGTATCTAGTTCTAAAAGATTCAACTGTAAAGCAATATAAAATTGCAATCAATGTAAATCTGGTTTTGTTTTATTATTTTTTTTAAAAAAATAACTACAAATAACTGGAGTTTGGGGAGGTTTGTCAGCAAATATAACAAATCAGATGTTCAATATTCACCCACCTTGTAGGAGCATCATAAACATTTATTGGAAATAGTATTATACAAAGGCTTACATCATATAACAACATAGCATAAAAGGACAGAGATGGAGATCATTAATGATTTTAATTATTTTAAGGCCCGTTAAAATTAGAGAAATACTAAAGCACCCACAATGTTAAGAGTTTATTATTACAGCATTTTAGAGTTTACTAGTTCATACCTTTCAATCACAGCAAGTTATTAGCAGTGAAGGGATGAACCCTCTTAAGAAGATTTTTATTTCAATGATAGGGTGTTATGGACAAGACAACCTAAGTTTTAAAAAAAATTAGTAGCAAGCGCTAGTTGAGTTAATTAGTTAAAGACAAAACTGTGCCCATGGGAAGCTAAATGAAAAAGCAACAGTAAAGCTTACAGAACTTAGCTCGTACAATTTGCCTTGAAGGCGGAAGATTGGTTCCCTGAAATAGCAAAGAATTATATGCTTTAGTTCAGAAAAAAAAGTTTTTAAAATCAAGTCTGTTATTACCTCTTCTCCTTTCAAAACAATGGAAAAAAAATCTAGAGCAAAGGTTTCAATGTGTTCAATAATTGTACTTCTGCATTAAAAAAAAAACAAAACTATAAAGTCATCATTGTTTTGACTTGAAAAGAAATAACAATGCAAATACTCATTATCACAGAAAACATAAAAGAAGCAGCAAACTATGGGGGTTAATGCAATCTCTGTAAAGCGCTATTAGTCAGAGACAGCGGGTCAGCCCAAAACGCAAGAACTCAAAAGATCAGGTCTCTTGAGGAATTAACATCTTTATTAACCAACAAGAATTGGGTGTGGCAGCAGTGAAATGCAACAGCTGCCTTCTCTATAAGCTGTCCCTTCACTGTTATCAAGCTGTGCAAACGTGTGAACTAGTCAGCAGCATCAGAAAGCTCATGCAACTATTCACCATATTTTAACCTTAAACTGATTCACAGATTTTATGTTAAATCAAACTTACTGGTAATGTAAGCAAGCAAAGTAGGATACAAGGAGTCAAATTTGGAAAAACAGAGCAAGTAGCAGAGAAGTTATTTTAAAAAATCAATTGAGTTAACTGCATAATATAGCAAAATAATGAGAGAGGGGGAAAAACTCGCTCTAAAAACTTTAAAAGCCAAAACAAAAGAAAACTGAAAGCTGCATTTCCAACAAAATGTGCGCAGGATTAATTTGCATTTTTAATAGTCAATCAAGCAATTTAGTTCAAACTCATTGGGGAATGCATGCACTAATTCTTTTAAGCAATTCCTACCTGATTTCCAATTGTGTTTTTCTTGTGAACCTGACTGCTCCTCTGCTGAGCACTGAGAAAAGCAAAGGAGAGCAGCACTGAAGAAACGTGTAAGATATTTTTTTTTTCTGAACAAGTAACAGATACTAAAATATATACAGGCTTTTAAAAAAATGTATCAACAACTGAGGCAGAGCTATATCAAAAATTCATGACGGTATTCTGCAGCAAAATCAACTCAGTGGAACTCCTCATCCCAATTAACAGTCACAAACCAAAAACATAGTGACACCACAGGAAACATAGCTGCATTGCCGCATCAATAACAATAGGAGTCAAGGCAAGCATTCAGGACGTCTCGCAGGTGTGCAAAGTAAATGTACTGAAAATGAACAGTTAACAGTTATTAAGTATATGCCATGTTCTGAGTGCTTTACAGATATGAGTGATTTTAATTCATTTTACCCTGAGAAGTAGTTACTACTATTCTTTTCGTTTTACAGATGGGGAGACCGAGTCACAGAGTAGCTCAATGGATTTCCCGAAGTTACTCAGCTAATAAGTGGTGGTCCAAGGAGTCAGCCTCCAAATCCCAAACTCTATGACATTTTACAATCTCTTTGCTTTGAATTCCACTCTATTCTGACAACTCCCATAGAACAAAGCCAGCTTGGACCTATCTCCCCAAATCTAGACTCATGTAGGTTTTTGATAACGCAGCTTCTCCACTTGGATTTCTAATGGGCACCTCAAACTTAAGATGCTACAACCAAACTCCACCCACTGCCTTCCCCTTCTTAATTCCGTCATTTCCAAGTGTGTAAGCCCAAATCTTTGAATCCTCTTTCTTGTACGTTGGTTCTATCCTCAGTAGGGTGCAAGGAGGGCAGCCAATCAATGTTTCTCTCTCATCAATATTTCTATCTCCCTTTCCCTTCCTCTCTCTCTAAAATCTATTTTTAAAAAAAATTTTTTAAAGATATGAAGGCTTTCTTTTGGTAAATCAATGAGTAAACATCAAAACCCTCCAACTGGCAGCGTCATAGTTTTTAAAGGCTGTTTTGAAGATCGATGAAATAGTCCAAAATAGAGAAAAAGCTCAAATTATTAATCAACTGTTTAAAGTAATGGAATATTTATGGTTCAGGGACACATCAGAAATCAACATCACACTTTTGAACCTCTGCACAAAACAGCAATCCTATATAATAAAAGTCTAATATGGGAGTTCGACCAGGGGGCAAGGCCAGCGGCCAACCTCCCATATGCCCTCCCTCTGCCTGGACCTATTGGCCCAATTTTACCTGTGCCAGTCCCCACCTGTGCATGAATTTATGCACTGGGCCTCTAGTCTTTCATAATCTCCCGCCAGTTTTCACTCAAACTCCTGAAAACCCGTATTAAACATTCAAGTGAAGCTGGGGGAAGGGTGGGTGGTGAAAGGCCATACTGTATTTGATTACTAAAGACATTCTGTGTATATTTTTGCTTTTCAATGTCCTCATGTTAGACTTTCAGCTTATTTCTCATTTCCTCGTTTTTTTGTTATTTTTTGAGATTTTAGTTAAATGCTTAAGTCCCTTAATCACTACGAACATCATCTCTCTCCAACCATTTCCCCACATAATCCAAATCTACATTATTCTGAGTTCTGTGGTAAGGCTGTGAATGAGGTTGAGTTTGTGTCTGACTGTGACCAGGGGTCTGATGCACCCACACTGCCTTCTGGCTGCCTGCCAGACCCTGAACATGGAGTGTGCCTACAGCAAACATGTCAAACTCATGGCCTACAGGCCTTATGTGGCCCACAATGCATATTTTTGTGGTATGTAAGAAACGCTTTAATAAAAATTTCATAACTTAATTTTTACAGTATCTTGTTATATATATTATTAATAACAAACATTTACTAATGACTGATTACTATAATTGTGTTGCATTAATTTCCCTTATGCACAGGCACACCATTTTCTCCACTAATAGTAGCAGTGAATATTTTAGCAGCCAATTGCCACATCATTAGTATTGTACTGACTTTTTTGGTGTGCACAACAGGAAATATTTCGATTTCAGAGAACAAGAATAATAGATTTGCATTATGCTTATTAATTTGTGCAGTTATTCAGTGTCTGGTAAGTTAATATTCAAGAAAAAATATTAATTTTTATTAAAATGTTCTATTATTTTATGTTAATTATTACTCATTTATTTCAGCCCTTTGTATTCAGCATGTTGCTACTGAAATACTAGTAAACCTACGTTTCTATGAAAATTGAAGCTTTTGTTTTTTTTGCGGCCCACATAAACTTAAATCTTGTTTATTTGGCCCGTGTTAGCCTTTGAGTTTGACATGCTTGACCTACAGCACTAGTCCACGTGGGGCCTCAGATCTTTACCCTGCAGGCTTTCCTCTCTTCTCGGAAAAATGAAAAAAAAACTACTCATGTAATGTAATCATGCCTTATTCCCAGGGATGGCCACCTCTTCCAAGTACCATCATTGTGTTTACGTGCACATGTTTTCTAAAGAGATGTTTAAAAATAAATCACTGACTTGCGGTGATAACTGCAAACTATAACAGACCCAAACTATTGGGGGCCTTGAATTCTGGGTAGGGTCCCCTTAAAATCAAACAAGAGAAAAAGGAATGGATATAAAGCAACTGGATATAAAGAGATTCTCAATGACACTTCGCGCAACCTGAGCAGAGTCTGCCCTGAATGCCCCTCAGTTTCTCAGCTGTAAAGTGAGATTGTGTGCATGTGAGTGTGTGTGTGTGTGTGTGTGTGTGTGTGTGTGTGTGTAAAAGACAGAGAGACAGAGTTAAGTCAGGGACCAGACAAGCTGTTTCTTAGGTTCCTTTTAGATCCAATATGCCTCTCAGAAGCTTACGAGCTACACTAGGTGAAGGTGCTTCCTCTGACAGAGTCTTCATCTACTAAACAATGCACTCGTAAGAACATGCAGAAGGAAGTAGATTTATTTTATAGCCAACCTCAAACATTAGTTAAGAACATATACTAATCATCTTTACTTTCCATCTAAAGAATACCCTTTTTGTAGCAACTGGCCCCATCCCATAAACCCAGAGATGTTGTTAATGACATATTTAGGTACTTGAAGTTACTTCATAAGTAACATTATAAAAAAACTAAGTGCCTCACTAGAAAGCACCCTTTATCATGATCTTTATGCATGAATGATAACTGCACTGGAATCATTTCAAAATACTTATTTATAAATGTGTTCATGAGAAATCATGCAAAGACTCGCAAGTGAACTTGAGCCTTTGGACATAATCTTGGTTATAGGTCCTTAACTGGTTATGTATGCCATATTGGAAAACAGACCTAGGAGTAACGTTTTCACTTGACAAAAATTTGAGAGCACCAGCTCTCTGCAAGGAGCTATGTGGAAGATATGAACATGAATAAGATATGGTCCCTGTAATCAGAAGCCTACAATTTCTCTAGTGTAGGTGGTGAGATACACACACAAAATACAAAGAACAAAGGAAGAATATAAGCTCTACAAAAGTAAACATGTGAGAATGTAATACAAAGCCCCCCCCCTCCAACCAAGTGCTTCTGTTTCACATGTGAGCTATAATTACCCCATAGCTTCTTATTGTGTGGTTTGTTGTTAAGCGTATAAATTCCTACTACAACCAAGTCACTGTGGAAGGCTTTTTAGAACCCTAAAATACATGAAGCCAAACTAGGTTTAATGCTCTGAGACATAACGATTTTAAAAGTATATAACAAGAGGTTTAAATTTAAGTAAAAATAAGAACACATTGAAAGACATTCAAAGAAAAAGAAACCCATGTTACCATGTAGCTCAATGTTTTTTGCACGTTCATTTCTAGTTTCTATCCTTGTCCATGTGCATACAAAACAAAAGATTGAAATCACAGGAGAGTATGCCAAGGGGTTTATATAACCATTTTTCAAACAAATCCTATGCATGGTAATTGCTCTGCATCAGAGACAAACAAAAGGGATTATTCTGGTCTGATGTGATCTGAGACTTTCACAGAAAACTTGAAGAAAGGTAAAATTTTAATAGAGGAAGACAACCGAGTGCATTCCAGGAGAATGGTGTAGTATCAGCAAAGCCAGGAGGTCAAAAAAATGAGGCACATAGAAAAGTTGTGGAATATAAAACTATTACAGTAAAATTATCTAATCATAAAATCAGGGTTATAAATTACCTTAAAAGCCATCTAGTTCAGTAACTGAATGTGAGGGCCAATTAGGAGAACTTGGCTGTTATGGTAGAGCCAGACAAAGTATTCAAAGTTTCTGAGCCAGCAAATGGCACGATCAAAGCAGTGTTTTGTAAAAATTCTGAGTCTGAAGCACAGAAGATAGAAAGCAGGCAGCCTAGCCCCCTTCCTTCTGACTGCAAGTCCTGCCTAGCCTTCAAAGTCCAATCAAGTACCTCTTCTGTGTTAAGCCTTCTTAGAAACCTCCAGTTCTCTCTCCTTCCCATGAATTCCCAAAGATCTTGGGCTGCACCTGTATCATATAAACAGGATTGTGTCAGGCAGGTCTCTAATTCCTCTCTGACAATGTCTGTTCCTCCATGACTGATGGTATGTTGTACAAATCTTGGTATCTCTACCTCTCTCACCATTGACATTTCCTAGCACAGTGTTGGAAGAAGAGGTAAGAAGCAGTTTCTACAGCCTTGAAAACCATACTGATGAGTTTAAACTTTATTCTAAAAGTAATATGGAATCCAGAAGCAATGATAAAGGACATAACAAGAGGCAATGATAAAGGACATAACAAGAGGTAGTAACCCATGCAAGAGAAGAATTTTAGGGCACCAACGATCTGCAGGGCTCTCTGTGAAAGATATAAATGATGATAGGATTAGACAAATTCAGAAACTAGAATAGAGGTAGAGTCAAGTGAACTTGGTAAAGATTGAAGGAAGCAAAGATGGGAACAAGGAGTAACGAATGACACTCAGGTTTATGGTGTATGGAAGTTACCACCCATAGAGCGTGGGAACAAGGGAGGAGGTGTAGATTTAAGATTAGATGATGAGTTTATGGAAAATCAA